GATCAGTTCCGGGACCGGGAGCAGCACCGGGAGGGCACCGGGACCGGGATCTGTACCGGGATCTGTACCTGGATCAGTACCGGGATCAGTACCGGGATCAGTTCCGGGACCGGGAGCAGCACCGGGAGGGCACCGGGACCGGGATCAGCTCCGGATGCGCTGCCGGGACCGGATCCCGGCATTCCCGGGATTCCCGGGGGGTTCGGGACGCTCCCGGCCCCGCGCAAAGGGAAACCGGGAATCGCGGCAATTCCAAGCGGGAATGGCTCGGGATGGGATCCGCGGCCCCGCGCCGGGAAACGGGAATTGAATTCCAGCCGGGAATTGCAGCCGGGAATTCCAGCCGGGAATTGCAGCCGGGAATTCCAGCTGGGAATTGAATTCCAGCCGGGAATTGCAGCCGGGAATTGCAGCCGGGAATTGCAGCCGGGAATTGCAGCCGGGAATTCCAGCCGGGAATTCCAGCCGGGAATTGCAGCTGGGAATTCCAGCTGGGAATTCCAGCCGGGAATTCCAGCCGGGAATTCCAGCCGGGATTGGGATCGGGGTTCCCATCCCGCCTTTCCCGAGCGTTTCCTGCTTTTCCAGGATTTTCCAGGATTTTCCCCCCGCTCCGCTCGGTTTTCCTTTGGCTCCTCCGGGATTTTCCTGCCGCGCTCGGGGCGCTCCCGCCTTTCCCGGGATGGAATTCCCGAGCTCGGGGATGCATCCCGGGAATCCCAAACGCCGGGAATGTTCCCAATTCCCGCTCCCGGGGGAGTCCCGGAGGAGACAGCGGAGCGGCCCTTGGGAATTGGGGATGGAATTGGGCTGGGATCGGCGGGAAGAGAGCCGGGAATGGGGAATGGGATTGTGGGAACGGGATTGGGGAACGGGATTGGGGAACGGGATTGGGGAACGGGATTGGGGAACGGGATTGGGGAACGGGATTGGGGATTGGGGAACGGGATTGGGGAACGGGATTGGGGAACGGGATTGGGGAATGGGATTGGGGAATGGGGAACGGGATTGGGGAACGGGATTGGGGAATGGGATTGGGGAACGGGATTGGGGAATGGGATTGGGGAATGGGATTGGGGAACGGGGAATGGGATTGGGGAACGGGATTGGGGAACGGGATTGGGGAATGGGATTGGGGAATGGGCCGGGATTGGGGAACGGGCCGGGATTTTGGGAATCTGGCTGGGATTTTGGGAATTTTCCTGGGATTCTGGGAATCTGCCCGGGATTTGGGGAAAGGGAATCAGCCCGGGATTCTGGGAATCTGCCCGGGATTTTGGGAAAGGGGCTGGAATCAGCCTGGGATCAGCAGGAAAGGGGTTGGAAGCTGGGAATGATGGAAAATCGGGAATGATGGAAAATCAGGAATTATGAAAAGTTGGGAATGATGGAAAATTGGGAATGATGGAATGTCAGGAATGATGGAAAATCGGGAATGTTGGAATGCCAGGATGTTCTGGGAATGTTGGAATGTCAGGAATGATGGAAAGCTGGGAATGATGGAAAATCGGGAATGTTGGAATGCCAGGATGTTCTGGGAATGTTGGAATGCCAGGAATGATGGAAAATCGGGAATGTTGGAATGCCAGGATGTTCTGGGAATGTTTCGAATCCCAGAATCCCAGAGCCAAAGCCGGGATGTTGCTGCTGGAATTGCAAGGCCGGAGGTGAATCCTGGCAGGGAATAAATCCCTGATTTTCCATGGATTCCTGGAATTCCGGGATGCTTTGGGCTGGGAAGGAGCTCAGGGATCGGCCGGGAATATTCCCAGCTCTTTCCTTCTCCAGCTTTTCCCACAAATCCCAAACTTTTCCAGGATTTTCCCGCTCCTGATCCGGGCAGGGGCTCCTTCCCGAGAATCCCGAGCTTTAACGCAGCCGGAATTCCGGAATCCCAGAATTTCCCGGTGAAAACCAGGGAATTCCAGCTCTCCCGGATCCTCGGAGCTTCCCAAACTCCCGGGAAGAGCCACAGGGGCAAATTCCAAAGGATTTTCTGGGATTGTCCCAGATCCTCTTAACCAGGAGCAGCTCCGGCTCAGCTCCGTTAATTCCCGCTGGAATTCCCGGAATTCCGGAAAAGCCCAGAACGGCCAAAGGCTCCGGGAGCTGCTTCCGGTCCAGAAAAACCGGGAATGACAGGAAAATCTGGGAATTCCATGGATTTCAGTGCCTGAGGAATTCACAGGATGAATCAAAAGAAGGGAAAAAAGCTGGGAATTCTTGGATTTTCCCAAAAAAAAAGCAGGATTTGATCCCAGAGGGAATGAGCCGGGTCCCGTCCACGGGAATTCCATGGAAAAGTCGCTCCAGGATTCCCATTTTTCCCATGGAAAAGGCACAAATGGAGGCTCCGGAATTCCGGGATCCATCGAAATCGGGTGGAATTCCAGGCTGGGAATTCCCTGGATTCTGCTGCTTCCCAAGGAATTCCCTCCAAATCCCGTTTTTCCAGGGATTCTTGGATGTTTTCCCGAGCTCCTTCCGGAAATTCCCGGAATTCCGAATTCCCGGGAAAAGCCTCGGGCAGGGCCGGATCCGGGGGCAAATCCCGGGAATCCTCCGGATCCTGCTGGGATCCAAACCTCGGGAATTCCCTGGGAAAATCCGGGAAGAGCCAAACCTGGGAATCTGGGATTGCTCCCAGGCCAGCCCGGCAAATTCCAGGGGGGGGGAATTTTTTGGGAATCCGGAATTTCCAGATCCGCGGGAAAACTCCTGAGGAAGCTCCGGGATCCGCCGGGAATTCCGCTGGAAAAGGCGGAAAAATCCCGGGGTTTTATGGTCCCGATTTCCATGGAATTCCCAAATCCCGGGGCTGTTCCCGGCTGGGGGCGGGCGCAGTTTCCATCCGGGAATTTCCCTCGGGAATGTTGGAATTCCAGGGATTCTCAGCCCGACTCTTCCCGCAGGATCCTCGGCTCCGGCTCATCCCGGAATGACCTGGCCTGACAGGTAAGAGCCGGGAATTGCCGGGAATTCCAGGGAATTTCATGGAATTCCAGGGCTGGGGGGGAATTTGGGGAATTTGGGGAGGTTGGGAATTGTTGGGGGTTGGGATTTTTGGGATTTGGAGTTTGGGATTTTTGGGAATTGGAATTTTTGGGATTTTGAGTTTGGGATTTTTGGGATTTTGGGGATTTTTGGGAATTTTCGGATGTTTGGGAATTGGAAGTTTTGGAATTTTGGAATTTTTGGAATTTGGAATTTTTGGGATTTGGAGTCTGGGATTTTTTGGGAATTTTTGGATGTTTGGGAATTGGAATTTTTGGGATTTGGAGTTTGGGATTTTTGGGATTTTGGGTTTGGGATTTTTGGGAATTTTTGGATGTTTGGGAATTGGAAGTTTTGGAATTTTGGGATTTTTGGGATTTGGAATTTTTGGGATTTGGGAGGTTGGGATTTTTGGAATTTTGGAATTTTTGGGATTTTGAGTTTGGAATTTTTGGGATTTGGAATTTTTGGGATTTGGAGTTTGGAATTTTTGGGATTTTGGGGAGTTTGGGGAATTTTCGGATGTTTGGGAATTGGAATTTTTGGAATTTTGGGATTTTTGGGATTTGGAGTTTGGGATTTTTGGGATTTTTGGAATTTTGGAATTTTTGGGATTTTGAGTTTGGGATTTTTTGGGAATTTTCAGATGTTTGGGAATTGGAAGTTTTGGAATTTTGGAAATTTTGGGATTTGAGGGGTTGGGATTTTTGGGATTTGGAGTTTGGAATTTTTGGGATTTGGAATTTTTGGAATTTTGGGGTTTTTGGGAATTTTGGGATTGGAGATGTGGAATTTGGGAAAGGTTTGGAGATGGGAATGATCCGAGAGGGGCCGAGAAATCACCCGGGGAGGGGTGACAGTGACACCGGAACTGTCACCAGAACTGTCACCGTGTCACTGTCACTGTCACTGTGTCACTGTCACTGTGTCACTGTCACTGTGTCACTGTCACTGTCACTGTGTCACTGTCACTGTCACTGTGTCACTGTGTCACTGTCACTGTCACTGTGTCACTGTCACCGTGTCACTGTGTCACTGTCACTGTCACTGTCACTGTGTCACTGTCAGTGTGTCACTGTCACTGTGTCACTGTCACCGTGTCACTGTGTCACTGTCACTGTCACTGTGTCACTGTGTCACTGTCACTGTCACTGTCACTGTCACTGTGTCACTGTCACTGTGTCACTGTCACTGTCACTGTCACTGTCACTGTGTCACTGTCACTGTCACTGTCACTGTGTCACTGTGTCACTGTCACTGTCACTGTCACTGTGTCACTGTCACTGTGTCACTGTCACTGTCACTGTCACTGTCACTGTGTCACTGTCACTGTGTCACTGTCACTGTGTCACTGTCACTTGTCACTGTCACTGTCACTGTGTCACTGTGTCACTGTCACTGTCACTGTCACTGTCACTGTGTCACTGTCACTGTGTCACTGTCACTGTGTCACTGTCACTGTCACTGTTCACTGTCACTGTCACTGTGTCACTGTCACTGTGTCACTGTCACTGTCACTGTGTCACTGTCACTGTGTCACTGTCACTGTCACTGTGTCACTGTCACTGTGTCACTGTCACTGTCACTGTCACTGTCACTGTGTCACTGTCACTGTGTCACTGTCACTGTGTCCCTGTCACTGTGTCACTGTCACTGTCACTGTCACTGTCACTGTGTCACTGTCACTGTGTCACTGTCACTGTCACTGTCACTGTCACTGTGTCACTGTCACTGTCACTGTCACTGTCACTGTCACTGTCACTGTCACTGTCACTGTCACTGTGTCACTGTCACTGTGTCACTGTCACTGTCACTGTCACTGTGTCACTGTCACTGTGTCACTGTCACTG